CCAGGCGTTGCCAGCAACGACGTATGCATGAAAGTGGACGCGCACCAGTTAAGCCCCAGAAGTCGATAGTGGAACGTGATGTTTACACGAAACTACCACATGAGCAGTTATGGCAGCCTGGCACCGTGCTTACGAGCTCAGAAACGGAGGCCGAAATACAACTAGAGAGTGGAGAGACAGTTTGCAGGCACAATGATTTCATCCGACCCCGCACCCCAGTCACACCGTACCCTGGGGAAGAGAAAGTGGTTCCAGAAGATCTGGAGGAGACAAACAAAAACCAAACGGAAGAAATCGATCAGCCGATTGCTATGCGGAAACCGCACCGCTTACCTAAGCCGACAGGACGTTACATTTCACAACTGTGATTCCATCTGTCACGTGAGGGGATGTTACATGTGTGTCGTCCGCTAAACCGATGAGCAGAACACAGACACATACAGATCGATTAACCGATAGCTGATTCGTCCACTCTTTTTCCTTGTGCTGATTGGTTCCTTTTCGACTTATTCATTTGGTGTAACCTACAAGCTACCATTACAGTTTTTGACACGTCCCATCCGGTGTGTTCTTATTCACTTCTTGTGCGGACTAAGGGTCCAGGTGCGATCCAGCAATACTCGAGTAATACGTATCAAATATGAACAAATATAGGAAATAGGGATTAATTCGTGGGATCGGTTAGCTTCTCTTTGTCACCTGACATGTTTGGCTGAGTGGGAAGTGCTATATCAGAGATTCGCAATAGTCAGATTAGCTGTCCATATTGTATGCGCAAAACGCGACACCAATTCCGTCACCTAAACATAATTCCTTGGACGGCGTTGAAAATTCAGATATTTTTATTTGACTTATTCGCTTTATCTCTTCAAACTCATCTCCCGCCCTTAATAGTAAGCTGAAAGCGACTTGTGCATGAATGTTCACTGTTGTTAGACCAATTACAGATTAAGATACCGTCTGCCCTGTTGGACATTCAGCCATTTTGTGAATGGAACTGTGTTGAGAATTATGTAATTGTGTCACTCTATTGACGGTCACGTCAACTTTTGCCCTGGGTCTTTTCGGATTTGTTTCGTTAAATTTTGTTGCACTTCGCTGAATTTAGGCTTTTTCATTTCGGTTTGTCGAGCTCCTGTGTAACTACCTTTATCCGCATTTCATTAGCGTTAAGTATTTCTTAATCTACCGTTTCCAAAGCAAATCCGTCAACTGGTTCGCTAGTCGCCAGCACCGGTTTTAGCCATCTTTTTAAAAGAGGTTAGTAATAATCCTGAGGCGTTGGGTCGTGGTACCAATAAATCGTTAGAGATGAGACCTAGTCGATCGTTCAAGCCTGAATTGATTGGACCTGATGGTCTGGGAATTGATGACGCTGGGATAGGTATGTTTTCGGATACCCCATGGAGCGAACCGCAGCGAAGCAAATATAATTCATGCTATCATCACACAGACAGTAGTAGGAGAAGTATTTTTGTTCACTGCGTATCTGAGTTACCGTCAGCTAGCGATGAAGTTCATGCCTATGACATGGAAGAATGGCGGTACATCCGCGAGACCCTTTCCACTGGTAGCATTAGAATTCAGTCCATTTTAGGGTTACTCTAGTCGCCGCACAACAGTTCAGTCACAATAAATGGCGATTAATCTAATCCGTAGCATGTAGATACGGCGCAACACACTTCCTTCGGAATTAAGTTTGAAGAAAGCATTTAAAGAACCGCTGCCACTCTCTGTCATCGAAGAAGATACACCACCCAAGATTCAATACACCCACAACCGCGATTCAGAAACCGGTGTGCTCAGACCAGTACCTATGGAAAAACTGAAGATGGACTACATGCCGCATATGCAGGCGAGAACAAAAACAGAGTGGATTCATATCAAGAACTTTTAACTCACCTAACTTGACTACTTGCCGGCATCTCACCAATCGGCACACCATGTAAATGCTCTGACATGTAAGTACACTAATGCTCAAGGCCTACCTAGGAAAATTTCCGAACTGCGTCTTCGTCAAGGATCAAAGGCCTGTGACTTCATCGTCATACTGGAGACATGGCTACACCCCAACATAAGTGACAGCGAGATAGCAATGCCGGGCATGTCCATTGTAAAGAGGGAGGGGTGTTTCTACACTTCCACAGTAACCTCCAATATGAGCTCATAGATGATTCAGTTAATACATTTAAGCATTACCTTTGGTTCGGTATATGTTTAAGAGGTGAGGATGACTGCTTGGTGGCGGTTGTTTGCCGGCCTCCCTCCTCCAAGTCCGAGATGGACTTTTCTCTGACATCCGCAATAAGACGGGTTAAAAAAAGCAGTACAGGCGCACTCGTATTGATGGCGACTTCAACCTCAAACCACCCATGGAGAACACTAGAAAGAGGATCTAAATTTTCCCTTGGTATAGACACATTAACACTCTCACCAGGTTTAGGGAGACAGATAGTACGTCTATACTGGATCGGATGTTCATCAACGATGAAATGCTAATCGAGTTAGTGACCGTCTAGGTTCCGTTGGGCCGCAGCGATAATGCAGTTCTACTCTTTGAATACATTCGTTGTTACGTGAAAATTACAGACGCCACGAGAACTATTATACGCCACGACATATTCGGTAGACTATGTGAGACAATCAACTGAACCATGTCAGCAGACGAAGCACCGGCTAGCGCATAACAACGTTTCTTCATCCAGTTTGGCATTCTGGTTGTAAAATCATCAGAAAGTAAAATTGTTCTCCAGAGAAACGTGGTAACGTCTGTATGAGGCAGGACACGATTGTATGGCGGTACCGAACTCAGCCTGCATATCTATAAGCTCTCTCCGAGCACCGAGACCTGAATGCCCCGTGGGATCTGACGTAACCACCGCACTCAACTTGTTCGTGTGGATAAAATGCCATACCAGGAGATGTATGGTCTCAAGTCACAAGCTGATGCAGCAACACGTAAACAGCCGACGTTAGGTGAAACTGGAATTCCTGCTCTTCAAACAGCGTAAGGACTGACACTCACAACGAAGGATGCAGTGAACATCAGGCAACTATACTAAGCTCTAACCTATCCATGCGTTCACTCACATATGCTATACGACGGAAACTACTCAAACGTCGGGCGCGTTTGCGTAGGTACAGCTCATCTGGAAGTGCTAATACTCACCCGAAGTCACTTGCGACGGTAGGAGAGAGCTTAGCTGAGTCTTTGACTAGATTCGTCCAACCCTGTTTTGACGGAATGTGCGTACCCGATATGTGGAAACAAGGGATAATAAATCTGATTCTCAAGGGAAGTGACCGTTCCCATCCAGCCCTACTATTGGTGCTTTCGAAAGTCATAGCAGCTATTATAGTCGATACGCTAAGTGATTATTTGGATGACTTTAACTACCTTTCATCCGAACAGCATGGCATCCGAGGAACTAAAGCGTGCACTACAAGTATACTGATTGCACGATCCAGCTTGACCGATGTAGTAGCACAAGAATTGACTTATTTTTGCTTGCCTTCTCAAAGGTATTCGACCGATTGGACCGTAGCATCCCTCACTCCAAATTCCAGGATTTCGGCATTAGTGATCCCCTCCTACGGTGGATTAGAGGTTTTCTCCTACACCAGCGCTTAGAGGTAAGAGTGCAGGAATTCGCATTAGCTCATATCCAAGTTGAATGCTGTGTACCATATGGGTCGGTACTGGGGCCACAGTTGTTTTTGACTTGTAGCAACGGTATCACACGCCACAGCAGCTCGAAATGCCTAATCAGTTCTAAAAGCATCAAGGTGTGGAGGATGATAACTACACAAGGTGATATTACACTGCTTCAAACCGATCTGAATAGGGCTCAGGCGTGGTTAATACACAAACTACTACGGTTTAATGTGGAAAAATATAGGGTGCTGCACTTACGACACCAGCTAACCTCTTGCCATAAAGGGAACAAAGATTAGATTCAGATCTATTCCGGCGAAAAGGATCTGGGCCGTTTATTCCTGGTCTACGTTGGATGTTCGAATCCGAGTGAAAAGACATCATGAAGTGGCATTCAAAATGTTGGCCTCCTGCGGCATGCATTCAGATGATTCGATTCCTCAAGCTTTCAGCGACTTTTCGGCTCACACATACGGCCACATGTAGACTGCACAATACAAGTCTGACAGCCATGGCTGAGTAGAGGCTTTACCGCCTTGGAGATGCCCAAACGCTGGGCAACCAAGAATGTCAAAGTTCTGTATCATTCTCCGTATGGGCAAAGGCTGCGAGTGTTCTTGGCCTTTAGCGGACGATACCAGCGATTGCGTGTGGACTTTATTTTGACTCATAAGCTAGTGAGGGATCATAAGCACACGCGCCACCACTTCGTAGTGCTCAGTCAAAACAATACTCTGAAAAGTCACCATCTCAACTTGCCAGAGCAGTACTCTCCCTTGGATTGTTCACATTTTGTTTCCGTATGTGTTTGCTAAGCGTAGAACGCCCTACGGGAATCTGCCCTCTGTGCTCCCGTACGGGTGGAGTTCAAAGCCAGGGTTGTCCGCAAATTTTCATACGAAGCATTGCACATGGCAAAACCAAAGCGTCTGGTAGAGAATTAACTGCTGGTCAGGTCCCAGAATCCATTGCACATCTTTCACCTCCTACACGGGTTTAAGCGGAGACGAGATGGTTTCTATAAGCGTCTCATTTATCGCCATTTCTTAAGGAATTACAGTGGATTTACAGTTTATAGTAAGTATACTGCTGTGAGTCCACCGGTGTAAACTTGCTTTTTAGACATATTTTTCGTACATTTCAACACCAATCATGAGCATCTTAGGGGAACTGTTAGGCTTTAGCTACCACATCCGTATTAAAACATGGTTCCATTGTCCGGTAAGCATTTGTCGTTACGTGTTCAAGCCGCAGTCAACAACCTTGCACTTCATTAGTGTTTATCCATCGCCTACTCTTTGAACCATGGCTGACATAATTAATTTTTTTCTGCTTACGACTGCAGGTTAAAATTTGGTTTCAAAATCGTCGTATGAAGTGGCGTACGTTGCTTCAAAAAAGTCAAGGCACCGGGTTGGAAAGCACCTTCAGTTTCAAGGCAAATGGCAGGAGCATTAATCGCATTGACTCTATTATGTATAGAACAGTGAAAAACAGTCAACTGAAGTTTCAGGGCTCCGTGAAGTGTAATACAGTTAACATTGGCTCAAAAAGGATGAACTGCTAACTGGTAGAAGCATTACCAATTTCTGGACAAATGTTCCTGTTCTGCCTACCTGGAAAACCCCATTCATGGCTCTCTAATCTGAACAAATGAAGATGTTGTGTCCAAGCTTGTCACCATTTTCACTTCACCTATGACTGTAACAGGAGTTAATGTACAATGCTTTGTATATTACAGTGTTGTAGCTCGAATATACCGGCGTCTAGAAGACCTTCCATAGTCAGGCACAAATGTTTTGTATGTCGTCACCATGGTGTACAACGAGTGAACAGGAGAATACCAATTTTCCACAACCAACAAAATCAACTAATGAATTCATCAACAACTGATTCTTAAGTAAAACAATTACTGGGATAATACGTCAGGTAAGGTCAAAATTTTGTATCCATGTTTCCACAAAGTATATCACAACTTGAATATCAAACTTAGCTAACGTGGGACATGGGACATGGTGAAGAGTTGTGGCCGCAGTTGAGGAGTACCACCAGTATTTGGAGCACGTGAATGGACACAACGTGTTGATCTGGTAGTTGTGGATCACATGAATCTTACTGTTAGCAATGGCTTGGAGTGCGAGTGTGTAAATGAATGTTAAATAGTTTCCCTATTCTCCTTTCTTTGTGCTGAACGATTTGTATTTTTTAGTGTATAAACAATCCACTGGAGCACATTGAGGTAGAACATGTTGAGAAAACACTTCAAATTCACATTGATTCAGCTACCTGTATCACCGGGTGTCATAACTATTATAGTTGTAGTGGAGTGAAAACTAGTCTTACACTACCGCACCAGAAGGAAAGGATTAGTGTCAGATAAAAGTATCAACACGCTGACCTTCAGTAGTGACGGTTGGACTAACTCCACTGATATTGCACACTCCCTGATACGATATTCCCGTGTTGGTTCCGCGAAGCTCAGACTTTTCCAAGCACACAGGCAAAATCTCAACACGCCGCCGCAGGAAAGCAGAACGCGCCGTTCGAGGTCGAGAATTATGTGTATTATAAACGGTGAATTAAAACAACTGTACAAGACGCATATAAAAGCGAAATGAGAAAAGCGCAAAAAATGAAAAAGCTATGAACACTACAGGACTCCCCCCCTAGAGCGTGAGTGGGCAAGCGAATGCTCGAAATGTACGCCTCACTGATTGTAAAACGCTAGTTTAGAAGGAAAAACCACCGTACGACCAAAACGTGTGCGTTTGTGTGTGTGAGTGGTTGCAGGGGGAGCTGTAGAGGGTTGTGAGGGAAGGACACTGGGATCACACATAGGCTGTGTAGGGGGAGTGCTCGGCGATGGATCGTCTTCGGGAACAGATGCGTCTGAAGATTGCTGAGACGGAAGAGGTTCGATGTAAGCAGGTTTCAAACGATCGATGCTTACAGAGTCTTTGCAGCCATTTCGGTCCAACACAAAATACTTGTCCTTGCGGTCGATAACCTTGTAAGGACCCTCGTAGGGTGGCGTCAGAGGTTTACGAACAGTATCGATGCGCACAAGAACGTAGCGACAATCGCGAAGATCAGGATGGATCTGTGGGTTACGAGGCGTGAGTCGTGGAGGTGTTGGGCGTACCGAGCTGAAATGACTCCTGAGGCGTGTGGCATAGGATGTAGGATCCATTTCACCAGTGACCCTTGAATCCAACACCATCTCTCCAGGAAGCCTAAGTGGCGTGCCAAAAACTAACTCAGCAGGGCAACAGCCTATGTCTTCCTTGACCGTGTTACGTATGCCAAGTAGGATTATCGGCAAACGTTCCGACCATTGCGTGCTCGACTGAGAAGCGGTAATCGAAGCTTTCAGCTGGCGATGGAAGCGTTCGACCAAACCATTGGCAGCGGGATGGTAAGCGGTTGTGCGTATGTGAGAACAACCGAGCAAACGACTTAGGTCACGAAACAACAAAGAAGTGAATTGCGGACCTCTGTCTGTCGTGATAGTAGCAGGTGCACCAAAGAACGAAATCCAGGTTTCGATAAAGGTTCGCGCTACTGTTTCAGTGGAAACGTCCCGTAATGGCACTGCATGCGGCCAACGTGTAAACCTATCAACACATGTCAGCAAGTATTGAAAACCGTTGGAAGGTGGCAAAGGACCAACGATATCCAAATGGACATGCCTGAAGCGAGCATCCGGTGATGAAAAGGTGCCAGGGACAGTGATTGTATGGCGATGAATCTTGCTGGTCTGACAAGTAACACAGTGCTTTGCCCACTGTTGGATGTCAGAGCGCATATTGGGCCAAACAAAGCGATCTGTGATCAACTTAACAGTAGCTCGAATGCCTGGGTGCGAGAGTCCATGGAAATGATCGAAAACGACACGGCGGTAACGTTGGGGAACGTAGGGTCTGGGCTTACCCGTAGACATGTCACAATGAACTTTGGAGTCAGAGTTAAGAAGCGGCAGGAGGGTAAGTTTGATCGAAGGGTTTGCTTTCGTTTGCATAAACTCAGAATCTCCCTCCTGATGAGCAGCGATTTCCTCTAGATCAAAGGTCGGACGTGAAAGTTCATGAATTCCAATACGAGACATTGCGTCGGCTACCACGTTGTCAGCGGCGTCTATATGACGGATGTCCGTAGAGAACTGCGATATGTAATCAAGATGTCGGGTTTCACGAGGGGAAAAGCGGTCCGAAGAACCACGAAAGGCAAAAACAAGTGGCTTGTGATCAGTTAGAATGGTGAATGAACGACCTTCAAGGAGATGTCGAAAGTGTTTAATGGCGAGATAGATAGCCAAAAGTTCTCTTCCGAAGGTACTATATCTAGTTTGTGCGGGCTGTAATTTACGGGAGAAAAAGGACAATGGTTCGGGATGACCATTGACGAGTTGCTGCAGAACGGCTCCGACTGCGGTTTGTGACGCATCGGTTTTAAGGATGAGAGGTGTGTTAACATCCGTCCGTAAATGGCTCAGAGCTGTGACGTTAGACAAAGCATGTTTGATCTTGTCGAAAGCGTTTATTACTTCGTCCGTGGGTTTGAATTTTCGAGTCTTTCCTTTAAGCAAGTCGGTTAAGGGTTGAAGCAGTTTAGAGCAATCAGGTATAAAGCGGCCGTAATAATTCACCATACCGAGGAAACGGCGCAGGCTTTTGTAAGACTGTGGCATCGGATACTCCGTGATTGCTTTTGTTTTCTCCGGGAGTGGACTGATTCCGGTGCGATCGATTCGATGACCGAGAAAATCAACACTGGACTGGCCAAAGACACATTTGTCCACGTTGATGGTAACGCCATAGTGATCAAAACGCTCAAAGATTTGGCGAAGGTGAAAAAGATGTTCTTCGTGGTTAGAGCTGGCCACGAGAATGTCATCGATATAAGCAAAAACGAAATCAAGTCCGCGGAGAACCTGGTCAATGAATCGTTGAAATGTTTGTGCGGCATTTCGTAGTCCAAATGGCATACGGACAAATTCAAAAAGACCGAAGGGTGTGGTTATAGCTGTCTTGGGAATGTCATCAGGGGCGACAGGAATTTGGTAATATGCCCGGACCAAGTCAATCTTAGAGAAAATTACTTTGCCGTCTAGACACATAGAAAAGTCATGAATATGTGGTACCGGATACCTGTCAGGGACGGTGACATTATTAAGCTGACGGTAATCACCACAAGGTCGCCAATCTCCACGAGACTTTTTGGGGACCATGTGTAAAGGTGAAGACCATGGACTATTCGAAGGCCGGACGATACCAAGACGGAGCATGTGCTCAAACTCGGCTTTGGCGTTGGCGAGTTTATCGGGTGGTAGTCGGCGAGGTCGAGACGTGACCGGTGGTCCACGAGTAACGATGTGGTGCACAATCTCGTGTTTAGGTGCGGGACAATTATTGGACGGCAGATACAACGCGGGGAACTGTTGGAGTAACTCGGTGAACACAGTGTTAGTAGGTAGAGTCATGCGAAGTCCGATCGAGCTGATCGAAGTGGCTCTGCCCGGAGTGGTGAGGGAGGTGATACTATCCCGAAGTTCCCTGTTACGTAAGTCGACGATAAGACCAAATTGGGTGAGGAAATCGACACCAATGATAGGGCGTTGTACATCTGCGATCAGGAAAACGAAAGAAAATGTTCGTCGAAGACCAAGATCGAGATTAAGCAACTTCTGACCGTAGGTCTGGATTCTCGTGTTATTAGCCGCCTGGAGAGTAGGTCCCGTGGGAATGAGGTAGCGTTTTTCCATTCCACGAGGCAGAACGCTGACCTCGGCTCCAGTGTCAACCAAGAATGAAAGGTTGGTTGTGGAATCACGGACAAAAAGCAGGCGACTAGAAGATGTGCCAGCCGAAGTCGTCGCCATTACTGGCTGGCTGGGGCGTTTCCCTGTTGAGCCTTGGGGAAGGCTTTCGGGTGCGAGCAACCAGGACGACAATTTTTAGCGGCATCACCAAAACGTCGATGATAATAGCAAATATGCTGTCCAGTGTTCCTAGCGTGTCTGTTTCTGCTTCTCGAAGTGGATCTAAAACTTCGACTGCGGGGGCGACGTCCTCTCTTAACGGCGAGTTCGAGTATGGACAGTCTCTGACAAATGGATTCAATGGCATCTGATGACAAGGAAGTCTCAGGTGGGGTGACAACAGCGTGACAAACTGGGCGTTGAAAGAAACACTCATGAACTTTGTCGGCCGTTTCTGCTAGTTTGTCAAGTGACAAATCGTCGGCGGATACAGCGAGAATCGCCGTCGTGTTGGATGGAAGACATTTTAGCCACAATTGACGTAAGACACTGTCGTCGACTTTAGAGGAACCTACGAGAGAGCGCATATAACGGAGAAGCTGTGAAGGTGAGCGATCACCCAGTTCAACTCCGGAGAGAAGTTGATGAAGTCTGCTCTCATCAGAAGCTGTAAGGCGTTTCAAAACAGCAGCCTTAAGCGTATCGTAGGGGGAATCGGTAGGAACAGGGTCGAGTAGGTCAACCACATCGGCGGCTATGTGCGTGGGAAGATGGGCAGCGACGTAGGAAAACATAGAACTTTGAGAAGTGATCCTACGGCAACGGAAAAGAGCTTCTAACTGTAAAAACCAGACACGTGCATTGTTAACGTCAAAAGCGGGTAGGGAAAAACCAACAAAATTTTCAGAAGAGTCAATGTGGGGAGTGGTACTGGACGACATTACGCAGGCGAAAAAATGTTCCAGTAGGAAAAAAAAGAAAAACAGGGGTCACCAAATATGTAGTGGAGTGAAAACTAGTCTTACACTACCGCACCAGAAGGAAAGGATTAGTGTCAGATAAAAGTATCAACACGCTGACCTTCAGTAGTGACGGTTGGACTAACTCCACTGATATTGCACACTCCCTGATACGATATTCCCGTGTTGGTTCCGCGAAGCTCAGACTTTTCCAAGCACACAGGCAAAATCTCAACACGCCGCCGCAGGAAAGCAGAACGCGCCGTTCGAGGTCGAGAATTATATGTATTATAAACGGTGAATTAAAACAACTGTACAAGACGCATAGGAAAACGAAATGAGAAAAGTGCAAAAAATGAAAAAGCTATGAACACTACATAGTCATTCGGTAAGTAATGAATTCGAACACACTTGAGCAAATTGTGCAAAGACCTCGCTATAGATTAAAGAGAATGGGAATTAGCTGTTCACTTTGATTGAGGCGAGGCAACTGCAGCATCTTTCATATCGCAAACTCATCATTGCCATTGAACCACATCACCGACAATTTCACTGTTTACCTGTGTGGAAACCGACCCTAAGTTTGTTCTGCATAAGAAGTGGTTGAATAACCGCATTATGATTGGTAGCCTTGATCATACAGTACAACTCAATGGGAAAAGCTTGCCTAGAACCTTTTAGTTGCAGGCGTATGCTACGGGAACCGTTGAACGAGTGGCGGGCATTACAAAATATGTAAGATTTTACATGTGTCCAAATTTTTGCAGCCATCCAGCAGCACGAGTGCATTTTACAGTGCGATGTCAGCATGAACCTTCCATTCTTGATAGAACAAGCATGTTTGTTATGTGCTGTTTTGTTCCTTCTCCCCCGAAGTTGTTGCCATTGGTGCATTTACTACTAGTCTACCAATCAACTTTACGGCATCGCCAATTTCAGATGAGTCAACGATGTGCATTTACTCGTGTTTAAGTGTTTTAAGGTGGCTACCTGTTGAAAGATGAAAGCCAAAAGTGCTGAACTTCTGCAAAGGCCGGTTGTCGACTTGTTAAGCAACTCATTCATCAACGCAACCTACAGTCGTAAATGTTTACTAAAAGCATTGGCTCCCAGTGTCTATTTCTTCCAGATAGGCAAGGGAATTATAACTGTACTTAACCAGATACTGGTTGATATATCAATAATAAGAGCAAATAGGTTATTTTTGGTGCCGCGGCTAAAGATTCAATACAGGCAGTCGGAAGTGTGATCAGATTTGATTTAAGGAAACAATCTCCCACAAGGTTACATAAATGCCAGCATATGCTATGTGTGTCGCATCTTTATAATACGCATACTAAAGGCAGGGCTTGGAAACGAACCGCAATAATTTTTGTGGCTGAATGCAGGAGGCTCGACACGAGGTCACGAGTTAATGCCTTTCAAGCGAGGTGGGTCTAAAACGGGAAACAGGATCGGTACGCTTTAGAACCAATACGCGAATGTAAGGCCAACCTCCGATGAGTGGAGAACACCAAAAGTAACGCTAGGAAAAATTTATTAAGTGGAGCTAAACGCTATCTAGTGCTAAAAATAAGGCACCGGAAGATAGCTAGCTAGGGGAAAGGTGTGGTCGCGTGCGCGGAGAGCAAAGATGGCCGCGGAGCCGAGGAGCGTCGCGCCGTTCGAAGGCGGATGCTATGTTGACTCAAACAAACGCGGGAGCCCAGAGAGCGATTCGAGAAGACGGATCGAGTTGCAGGGAAACTTTTATGGGTACAGTAAAAGATTCCCTGTTACCTAGCTATAAAAGAACGACACCGTGTACGCTCTAGCTAGGGGAATGGAGCATGCACAGCACACAGCTCAGTCGCGAGTTGCAACCGAAACGAGCGCCAAGCAAAAATGGCGATGACCGAGTCAAGCATTCGAACTCAGCAATCAGTTCAACAAACCACACCGGTTGTCTAAGTGTACAATGAAATAATTTTAGTTAGAATTTTACACAGGCAAACCGGGGAATCTCCAGGCTGCTACACGAGCAACGTTCAAACAGGCGAGCGGCTATTTTGCTATGTACATCAAGAAAATATAGTTTTGTGATTTCGTAATATTGTACGCAGCATGCGGCAGCCAAACAGGGGAATCTCCAGGTCACTACAGTTCCATGTCATTCTACTGTTAACTTATCCAAACGTGTGATAAATGCCTGAGTAACTAACTGGTTTATTCTTGGCAGAGCGTGGCACGCCAGTACAGACATGATCAAAGTGAAGTAAAAAGCACAATGGCATCCGAATTTTATAGGTGATTGAATAAAAATATTCGCAGGAATAGTTTCTCGCGGTTTGTGTACGATGGTAAGTTCCCAGATATCACTGGTAATGTCGTGCCTAATGTATCCTAAAAGGTACCCCAAAATGAACATATGATCAGTTGTTTACAGTCAGAAATGTGTCACATAATTTGCTCAGTGTTGCTTCCTGACATGATATCCTAGAATACGAAGGTGTTCCATGATATACTAGTGTGGTTTTGATAACCGATCATGGTGTGCAAGCAAATTGTTCCACCGAAGTAGGACTATTGTTAATCCAAACGTCAACAGGCACGCGAGATGAGAGTTTCATTATGAGCAGCTGAAAGTGTGGAGGCCAGTTCTGGACCACCGCACCAGAAGGAACGAAATGGTGGCTGAGGAAGCAAAGGTTAACGCTTACCTTCAGATAATACCGGCTTGACTAAATCCACAGATAATTAACCCTCTCTGACAGAAACGTTGAGATGATGCCCCAAACTTTGGTTAGACGAAGTTCAGACTTTCGAGACAAAACGAGCTCAACATGCCGCGGTAGAAAAACAGGAGGCGCGGTAGGTAGGTCAATAAATGTGTACCGAAAAACCATTAGTTAAAATCAACTGTACAGGGCCACTTACAAAAGGAAAGAGCTAAAGAACAAATAATTGTAATTTATGAATATCACAGGTTCTACCCTGGAACATGAATGAACGCATGAATACTCGAAATGTACACCTTATCGGTTGTAATACGCTAGCTTAGAAGGAGAACCAAGGTACTACCAAAACGTATGCGTTCGTGTGTTACTTGTGGTGGTTGGAGGCGCAGGGGATTGCGAGGAAGTACATTGGGATCAAATATGAGCTGTGTAAGTAATAGGCTCTGCGATGGATTGTCATTGAGAACAGATGTGTACGTAGATTTCTGCGACGAAGTAAGTTCGAAGTAAGCAGGTTTCAAGTGTACGGGGTTCACATAGCCTTTACAGCTAGCGGTACAGTAGAATCGGTTGCTTATTTACAAGCACATTCAGTTTTGCTAAATCGTATCCAATAACATCGTTTTATGGTCTCGGTTACTTCTCAGTACCGCATTGTCATTCTAATAACGTCGGTTGAGCAATGTTGGACTTAGCGTCCAAGTCGTCATCCGTACTAGTGCCGTTTCATTTGTCTTATAGATCATGGGGGAAAACGTTTAGCTGTTGTTAATCGTAAAAATCAAAGAGTAAAGTCGTAGAAGGTTTCTATGGTTAACGTCAACTAGGCTTTGAATTTTACACACAATGCCTCATTCAGGGATAAAAGCAATCCCATCTTGTTAGTTAAGGTTCCAACCCCAGAGATCGGTGTTATAACCATTGGGATTACAAAAGCACCATCTGACACAGCCAATCGTATTCAGTAGCATAAAGGCAACGTCCTACTTCATGCTCAGCTCATGCAAGCAGTGGTGAAAATTCACAGCTTTGAAATGTAAGTGCGTTCACTAAATACTAACATCCTGACCATTAATGAGACATTGGTCAAGGTGGTGTCTCAAGTGCGTTTGTCGGGCATCCAAAATTCTACCAAGCCGCCTAACCTTAGCTAGGCTGGCAAGCTGCTGAATGGAACAACACACGAAATATACGGGCGTGCGCCACGCTAAAATTGCCTTACAACTGAATGTTTCTGAACCATTACCGCTAGACAACTTGATGCGAACGCTTCTAGGTTTCTGCAAGTTGCCGCAAGAGTTGTGCAGCTAGCCGCCTTAGAAAGACTTGTCATGTTCCCAGTTTTGATCAGACTTGTAGGTTCTGAGTTTGCGAAACATACCGAAGCCAATAGCTTTATTCCAAAAAACAGGCTCAAATTGGGTGTATCGTAATCAAAGATGATCTGACGCTTTTACAATAGGCAGCGCTACGAGCTGCATTCTCCCCGTATAAGCAAAATTTCGATCTGCAATAATAAGTGTAGCGTCTGTCACCCGCTGCACACCATCGTGCGACGTTGTTATCGACTGGTCCGAACTAAAAACATAGTTGTGTCTCCCCCATAGAGCCTCTACCCGCAAATGTCACGTATCGAGATGCCACGGTGAAGGATACTTTGTCGACAGCGGCGCTCCGTGACAATGTAGACTGTGGAACATCCACAGAGCTCCCCTTGTTGACTCCGACATGTGTGACTCTGACACATATCCAGCCATCTTGTCCGTTGGTTCACCCGCTGCTACCATCATCACCTGACAACGTGATACCTCGCACACGCCCTTGGGTCTCTCACGTAGATCCCGCGGCCCAGTTCTAAACTGTCTGACACCCACGCCACCCGGCGGACCCAGTAAAGATTCACAGAAAGAACAAAACCAGCACCTACAGCCACTGTGTCGTGAAACCACAAGAACACCAGATAGCAAGCAATAACTCTTTGTTCCAGTAGAGGCAACCGGTACCCCTTCAACCTTCTCCGACATATCGTCCTTCGCTTGCCTCTGTGGATAAGGCTGGTCACTTCCAACCTAAAAGCAATGGTTATGTACTCGAAACTCCTAGTATCACAGTCTTTACCCCGACCGACCAGCAATCACGTAAAATGCGGGGTTTGCTAGCCCCTGGACGTGGGCGCAGTTCCTACGGCGATTTTTATCCGACAAGTAGCTCTAAAGCTGCATAAACCTCTCCCATGAATAATCGCTTACCTAAATATAGACAGTC